GGGCTGAAGGAGAGAAAATTCGGAAGAAGTACCCGGACAGAGTTCCGGTAGGTAGGGCTTGCGACTGATCAGGAAACTTACTGTTAGTTCATGCTTTTTCTTCCAAAGATCCGTCGATTACTATTATTTGAAGGAAAAGCTTACCTAGGTTCAGCTGCTTAAGAGCTATGTTACTGTGTAGAAAGTGAAGTTGTTTCCAAAGCGAAACTTTAATATCATTTGAAGAAAATAAACATGGCGTCAGCGACAACTCTTGGTGCAACGTCACGGAATTTCTATATGTCCATGTAGAGGAAATTGTCTTTTCCCTTTCTCAGAATGGTAAATAAACGCCGTAGCAAAGTTCACAAAGCTGTACTATTTAAGATCGACAGAATCTCCTAGTGTAAGCTATGTTTTGATGCCGTCTTTAGCTGTCTTTCTTGTGAAAACTGAAATAGCTGACGACTTACGAAAGCTTGTTTCTTCACTCGGTAACGTTGCCTGACAAATTTTTGATCCAGTGAATCCTATTAAAAATGCATTTAGATTGTATTAGAAAGTCATTTGATTAGACTGATAAGCTGACATATGTTAAGACTTTGTCTCCGAAATAAAAAATGACGAAACAGTTCCCTGGAATATTCCAGAAAAATCGTGTGTATGGTTAAAAAAATGATTAAGATCGATTAAATAATAATAGTTGAAAACCTTGATGGCTTAACTTAAAAGAATATATATATACATATGATATTTGTTAAAATCTATTTATGCATGGCCTCTTGTTGTGGCATGTTTTAATTCACTAAGAATTATTGCTTGCAATTTCCTACAGATTTCTTGTAGAGGACTACATTAAAGACCTAAATTCCTTTCTTAAGTTATACCCCGATGATAAATTTCACTGTAATTCGGTATGAGAGAATTTGAGTTGGTCATGAATAAACTTAGAATCAACAAGTTCTTTGAAATGCTTTCAGAGGCTGATAAATTAAGCTTTGTGAGCATTTTTTGACAAATTTCTTCTGTATACATTGAGGAGAAAAATTTCACCCTGAATTCTGAGATCTTATTGAGGAATTTAACTATGACAAACAATTAATTTTTTTACTGTAGAAAAGTGGAGGTGTATGATGACTACAGAGTGGGAATGTTTTGGATGGTGCTGAGTCATTGCACATTTCAAAGCAGTATCATGAAACATTATGAGTATCTTTAAATTTAAACAAACATGAACTTGAGCATATACATGTGGATGTACAATGGAACAAATGGTTTTTAGGACACAGTTTACCTGGTTAGCAGTAATTATGTTATGTTTATGGCACTTTATTGAAGAGTTTCAAGTTGAAATGAAGGGGAGATGTAGAAGCAACAGGTAGTTGTGTGAAATTATCCATTATATTAACTTAAAGAAGTGAAACTATGTAAAGTGGACCCTCAATGGAGTGGACAAAAATTATAAAGTGACCACCTGTCAGTCTGGATTTTGTTATTTTGCATTGCATTTATTGTTTTGTTCTTCTCTTTCATAAGGTTATTGTTGAGAAAGCACCAAAAGCAAGGATAGGAGACTTGGATAAGAAGAAATACCTGGTTCCCTCAGATTTGACAGGTTTGTCAAAATATTAAGTTCAAATAGGATTAAGTATGTGATTGTTTATTGAATGTGGTTCCCACTAAGGATACATTTTTTTTATGATGACTTCCCCCATCAGCTCTTAGTCTTAGTCATGATTAGTTTCTAACATGTCATGAGATGGTAGTATGAGAAACCATGATGGTTCTACTCTTTTAGGTTGCTGTTCTGAAATCTAATCGCACAAATTTATGCAAGTTTCCTGCATTACAAGCTACATTTCAGTGTGGGTGAAACTCATTGACAAAGCAAATGAAGGTCCCATATCCTTGTTATTCAGCATTCCTACCCATCTTCTATTGGTTACGAAGGCATGTACTTAGTTCTAGTTAGAAGAAGTCTTGGAAAACAGTTATTGCCAGGAAAACCAAAGGAAATAATTGAAAATTTTGTTAGAACAACAAAACAAGAGACACCTTGATCAGATGTCTATTTACCCATTACAAATAAACTAATACTGATCATTAGTCGTAGAAAGTCATGCAATTCTGTGACAGGAAAAGTGGTCATGTGAAAATTAATATTGGTGTTTTTACTTTTATCTTCCATAGTTGGACAGTTTTACTTCCTTATTCGGAAGCGAATTCATCTCAGACCTGAAGATGCCTTGTTCTTTTTTGTGAACAATGTCATCCCCCCCACAAGTGCAACGATGGGTCAGCTTTACCAAGAACATCATGAAGAAGACTTCTTCCTCTACATAGCATACAGTGACGAGAGTGTCTATGGAGCTCAGTAGAAAAAAAAAGAGATATTTGTATAGTTGAACTTTTAATTTGGGTCAGTGAGGCTGTGAATGAATTCTTTTAGCAGCCGTAGTCAAGGTTATAAAATTATTTCAAGTACAGTAAATAGAAAAAGTGTTATTGCTATATTTTGTGGTTAGTAATTAACTTGCTTTGGTCAGCAGTCATAATGTTTAAAGTACATGTATATTTTTGTTGCAAGCAGGCTGCTTTGCTGAATTCAATCAAAAGTCTCATTATTCCAATGAGAGCTTAATTGCCATGACAGTAGCTCAGTAGACAAACTTGAAGTAATCAATGTTGAAAACTCGATCAGTTATGCTCCCTTCCAAAGGTGTTATACCATCCTTTCATCCATTTACTTCCCTCTAGCTGATATAAAAAGTACTCAGATACTGATTAATTCTGGTTCTCAAAGGGTTTAAGCCATACTTCACTTAGGGGTCACTCATTTGGGGGAACTTTTTCTCTGTCCAACCATTTTCTTGCTTTAGTATGAGTTATCAGGGTCAACATGGCTGTTGTTACTACTGATAATATCTTGCATTATCTTCATGTAGGTTAACATTTTGATTCTATAGAGTGAACAGTATTTAATTATCTTCAATTTGTAATACATTGTTAAAGTTCAGATGATGAGAATGAGGAAAATTATAAAATATACACAGAAGTTATTGTGTTCATGTAATAACACATAGCCAGTGAAGAATTTTCTGCTTGTTAACCAAGGGAATTACTGTCCTCTCAGCTCCCAGAGGTAGTTCTGAAATGTACCATGACAGCTGAAACAGAGCACATTTTCAATTTACACCGTGAAACCACCACCTGGATCTTCCCTTCAGTGGAATAACCAGGTGCCCCCTTAGAAATATGGGGTTTCCAAAACAGTAGTTAGTTGCCTGTGACACCCTAGTGCTGGTGAAGCACAGCCCAAGAATAGGTTCAACAATCACTGTTTAATCCCTTGCACATATATGACCTTGAAAAGTTTGCAGCATTTCTGATGAATGATCTTTAGTTTTTTGTTGGTTACCGTGTCCTACATATCTTTCTCATCTGCTGCCACTTTAAGAAGTTACATGTATTTAGAGATAAAAATCTGTTATGGTGTAGATTATCTGCAATAGATCTCTTTACAACTATGGTGGTGTGAAAGTTGTCCCTTCCCCTCTGTCCATTTTATTTTAATGATTATCAATAAATCAATTTGTTGACCAATATAATTTTTGGTAAATGGGTTTTATCCTAAGATAGCTGAAGACAGTTTTGGACAAGGGTTTTAAACTGTAAAGAAACTAGGACACTTTGTATCTGTCCATTTGAATTCTTAAAACCTGGAATAAAGAAATTTAATATCATCAATTCAAACGATTGGTGTGTTGTTATTGTTATACATATCACAATAATGAATAAAAATATAAACCTTGAGATTGCGTACTTGAATTTCACCTCTAAGTATTTAATATATTGTTTCTGACTACTGAAGGGTCATTAGGACCTGTACATACAAGAAGTAGGGTTATGAGAAGATTCCCTCTTGCCTGTATGACTGTACTGTAGTACATTTTCAGAACACTATGTCCAATGCAGAGCTGAAATTTAAGTAAAATATTTTCAAGGAAACAATAAAGTTTCTGAAGCAACCATCTCTTTCGGTTGGGTACTTGTATCAACCCTACTTCTTGTATTACCATTTTCAGCAGTGTGGAGGTTGAATTGTATTTTAAGAGTGAAGAAGCTGAGATTCCCCATAAAAGTACTTGAGAGGCAGCTTAGTACGTGAGTAACGGTAGGGGCAACCTGAGGCGTTTACGAACTACCCCCTTCTTCGCGTGCTTCGGTAGCCGGTCTCTACGGGAAGATAAGTGGAGGGTCAACATATTGGGACGTAGAAAACGTGTACTCTGTAGACTTGAGAAAAAGCAGAAAGTTGAAATGGCTTGATTCGATTACAGGGCTTTCACTTATCATGCCAGAATTGGGTGTTGTGCAATAAGATCAGTGTTATTTTACCACCGTGTCTCTTTGCTTTATAGGCTGGAAACGGCTAAGGAAGAAAAATGTGTTCAGATTTGAAGCCGAGCCCCTGAGAATTTGATAGGGGAAACTTGGGTACACGACTGAGAGCTTCCTATAGAGTAACAATGAAGGAGGGACCGGGTTGAGGATTTAAGAAGACAAAAACTAATAGTGGCCAGGCAACCAAATTTCCTATAATTCAACATGTTTTTACATCATCACTTAAATGCATCAGCTTTAAGCATTTTCTAATTTACGTTCTTTAATTCAAGAAAGATCAAGGACATTTTGCAGGAGTAAAACTATGAAGGTTAAGCACGATAATTGTCACTATGGCAAACTGTTCCGGTCTCGCTACCGGTCCGTATCATTGTTAAATCTGGTACACTTTGCCGTTTAGTTTCCCTGAAATCATTATTAGGGTAAACCATTTCATTTTCGCTATGAGGTTGTTCCGTGGTCTGGTCTGGCACGCTTTCCCACTTAGTTCCTCTTCCATCCGCACAGTTTCTACGAGATAGAGGCACTAGGATATGCGCAGTACTTTTTAGCTTTTGAGGGTTGCGGCGGGTCTCGTCATTCTTTAAGGGTGGTGTCACTCTTTGCGCTATGATTTCTCCGTTTTTCGCCCCCGTCATTTTTTCCGCGCACTCCTTTGTTGAATTCCTGTCATCGAAATCTTCAAGGAACGTATCACCGATTGTGCTATGTGTGACAGCTCCATCCTTGGACTGATTACCTGTGATATCCTCGTCACCAACCACCGAGCCCGCCAAAGCTTGAGGGCTATCATCTGGAAGGGCAGCAAACGGGACAGATTTCCTGGAGACTATGGTATCAAGGCTATCAAATATATCCCATGGATTGCTTTTCGTTGCTTTGAATTGGAAAAATGCTGTTTCGGTCCGTTTTGATGTGCTTTTTCTACCCTTGCTTGTTTTTCCTTTCGTGCGTTGGTTCAAGAATTCATCATTTTCGCCATTTGACTCTTTGGTGTCAATGGAATGAATATACTTTGCTTCAGCTGTTCGTCCCGATGAACGTGAAAGAGAAACACCCATCTCTTAACATGAAAAAACCCTCGCTACTCAGGTTGTGAAAATCTCTGCTAAAAGTCCTTGCGACTTTGCGTCATAAACACGCAACTCAGTTACGCGAAATGCTACGTAACACTTTCAGCGCGCACAAATCTTTAGGTAGCGGGTGACATTGCTACGACACGGCCGCAGCGACTGTTCTCTTCGCGTCACTTCGTCAGATAGGTTCCGAAAAAAATACGATCCTTTATGAGGGGACCAGAGAACGTTTTTCAAAGGGTGTCCAAGTTTGTTTTGTGCGAGACCATTGTGGTGGAACAATTACTAAGTACAGTAACCGCACCTTTCTATTAATATAAGTTAGGAAGTAGGTTAAGAGTTTTGGTGGGTAATTTAGTGTTAACAACTAAGTTGAAACGTAAATTAGCCACCGTAAAGGGTAGTGGCTGATTTACGTTTTCAACTCAGTTGTTAACACTAAATTACATGCAATACTCTCCCACCGACGCAGCACCACAGTTTCGTTAGAAACTTACCCCTTTATTTAAGAGTTTTGGTGCACTGTCATTCCTTGCCAACAAATTGTTTTAAAACCAATGTTTTAGGAACCTTAAAACAATTACTTATTGAACAAGTACTCGATTGTTAGATTCGAAATATCAAGTGGATGCTAGTATAGCCAGCGATGGAAACTCAGTTTCACTGAGAAACTTAGAAAAGCGGGTACATTTGACACCAACAGGTCATTTGAGGGGCCATCTGAGTACTGACAACTCACAAAAAAGTTCAAATGTTCCGATAGAAAACGAAGAATCCAAACCGAAGAATAACTCGCAATCGTATTATAGCAATTTTATTCGATCTGAAATCAAATTAATACGTTCAAAGATTCTACTCACTAAATGCAATCTCATAATTAATAGAAGGAACTACAAAAGCGAAACAAATGCCCGTGAGAGCTAAGAATGGATGTAAGCGAACCTATGGGGTTCTTAAAACAAGCCTAATTACAAATGCTTTAAACTCCATTGGGTAACCGAGAAATCTAATCCTAACTTAACAATTCAATAATAATTTTCGGTTCATTTACTTCTATGGCGAGTTTTCTTAAATTTCCTTGAATACAGCATATATAAATCCGCGCAACAGGTAAGCAGTAAAAATTCTGATCATTTCAGTACGACTGTCGGCAAACGGTTGTCAAGTTTGTAGTACACATTGGTTATTATTCTATACTGGCAATCATATAGCCAGAAGTAGTGGATACATTTTACAACTACAAGTTAACTTTTAACATAAAAAGGAAAATTTACACCAGTTGATCACCTTAAATAACCTCCTCACTAGAAAGGAAGTGTGACAACTTATATGTAGATTGATCACAATTAGTGAGTCACTCTGTATCAATGTCCATTGGGGATTGGAATGGCTCCCTGTTTGAGTCCAAATGTGGCCAGGTTGGAAATTGTTGTGGAACCTGTTGTGCTCTATCATCAGTCATCTCTTGAATCCCTTGAGCTGAAATTAAAGCCTCACCACCAGCCTCTGTAGTTATGACAATGAGATAACAACAACACCTGGATACTGCAGTGTATAGCAACTCTTTAGCACATCCATTGCTTTCTGAATCATCTTCGTATGGAGGATTATACAAGATGACCACTTTAGATTCAAGGCCCTTGAAGCACCTAATGCTTTCCACCACAATCTTGTTGTCATTCTTCTCAACTAAGTTGTCTGCAGTTTGGGTTTCAACGCTATTTTTTGAAAGTGCCTGTCTGAAAGATTTTCTTTCGGCTACTGTTTCAACAAGAATACAAATGTCCCTTTCTTGAACATGTTCTCTACGTAGATCTTTCAAATGAGGAATGATTGTGCTGGCACCTTTGTCGTCTGAGATCACTTTGCTTTCCAGAGAAGTATCCCATTTGATTGGTAAGCCATATTCTTGATGACCAAGTGTAATGCCATTTTCAGATGTCATCAATGATTTAAAGTACTTCTCTGACTGCTTGAAAATATTTCCTGTGTTGCGAAGCACTTCCTTGAGCTCTGCACTGTTTTGGAGATATCTAGAGAACAATTTAAGCAGCTCTTTAGAGAAGTATAGGTACTGATTTGTGTCATACACGACCCAGAAAAAACCAGTAGGCTTCATCCAATCTTCTAGCTCAGCCTCTTCATTGAAATTAGGTGTCACAGAGCTCTTGTGCATCAGTTCAAGAAGATCTGGCCACTTACTTCCAAACAAGTCTTGACCTTCATCTACCAAAATGTGGTCATACTTTCCATAGAAATCTGATGTCTGGGTTGAGAGCAGCTCGAAGGCAAAGCTAACAGCCGCCTCTTTCTCGTTTCTACTTAATGGAATTCGGGGTAAGCCAGTAACATCAATGATAAGTTTAGAAAATGTTTTAATATCTAAGAAGTTCCTTAACACACTTTTAAGACCAGGACACTTTACTAGTTTGGTTTCAAGCACTGACTGTAACTTCTTGCATAACACAGCATTGAAGCATACAATAAGAATATTCTTTTTTTTTATGCTCTAGAATGGAACTTGCCAAAGATTCTGCCTTCTCCAGCAATAGCATTGTCTTGCCACTTCCAGCGGGTCCCCTAATCCACAATTTGGGAGGATAATGACCAACCAGCAACTCCACTTGTTCTACTGTTTTGAACATCAAAGTCTCTTCAACGCGGTTAATGCAATTGTCAAGGAGTGGACTGACATGGACCATGCCAACAAATCTAATTGAAAAAATGTACAAAATGACATTATGTTCATGTTAACATGCATGGTCAGACACTTAATGTGCAATTTGTTTTTTATAACCAGTGGCTTGTGCTTGTATCAATGTATGGTATGGTTATAATCATTAATGTCTATCACACAATCCTCAATATTAATCAGAGTTCACACATTTAAAGAATTCAAATTTAATGTGCATAAGTACTAACAATTACTATGCTCTCGCAAATACCTGTATTTGAGCAAAGTTTGCAAAATATGTTATTTACATTTCTAAAGTTATTTTTTGATTAATCTTTTTTAATCAAAATTTATGATGTCATGACATTCCACATTAGCATGAAACAAAAACTTGGATATCTTGGAAACAAAAGAACACACTTTAAAAAATATAAACACCATTTTTGTTTTTTTTTTAAATTCTTTCAAATAAGAAGCAATTGTTTTGCAATGTCTTTAAGACTAATGGATGGAAAGGTATGAAACCCCAGTGCATGTCAAGAAATCAACATTGTCTAGCCTCTGTGCTCCATTTTTTTGTCATTGAGAGTAACAGAAAGCGAGCAACATGTAATTTATAATCAAACCATATCTGATAACTGGTGATAACTGGTGTTTTGAGACAATCATGCAGCACAAGATAACACCAAATGCTTGTGAAAAAATGCGCCTTCTATATTTTACTTGTTGTCATATTTTATCTTCAGACTAGCATTCTTGAGCAAGGTGTAGATGCTCTATTCCCCAAAAAACAAGAAGAAACAAGAAAATCCTAAACACAGTTTTTTAGTTCAAAACGTGCAGATCAAGTTCCTATGAAAAACTATATTAGGTTTTGATTTAAAGTGTTGTCAAATAAAACTGTCTTTAGTTGTAAAATGTCTCGCATGAAAAAATAAGCTCTGCCAAAACTGTTAAAGTAAGTTAACATCCAAAAACAACATTAACATTATTTTATCAATCTTAAAGAAAATGTACACTTTTATAGGGAAAGTGTGAAACAATGGCATGCTATTTCTGTTTGGCTAAAAGATGTAACAGGTTGGTTAAAATACAGCACTCACCTCATTACCAGGTACTCATAGATGGTTTGATCAATTTCTGAATGTTCTTCACTCACTGGGAACTTGCCGTACCACCATTCAGAAAATACTTCTGCATTGGTACAGTCCTCTTGATAAAGTACATGGTCCTGTGCACAAAGTGACTGGCCTCACTGAGTATTTGGCAATACCACAAATGCTGGAAATTTGTCGAATGTTTTGCCCACTTGCTTATTGGATATTATCCCAGCTTCCATCATTTTTTGGCAAAATCTTTCCAAGGATACTTTGTCTTTTTTAATCTGACTGTCAGCTTTATGATGTCCACCTGAAGTTTTTGTTGCTTTTACTTGGAAAAACACAACCCCATGGACATGATGTACTATAACAAAGTCATGTTCACCCATTACCCAAGTTGACATCTTAGTACTTGATATCTTACCAGACTGTCACATGGGAATGTACTCACTAAACTTATAGGAATGAATAACAAACATGGGTTCCTTCTTAATTTCACCAAATTCTTTCAAAATGTCAAAGAAATGTTTTTCTGTAATTTCCCCTAAATTTGGGTTTTTTGCCTTAGATATGAAAGAGCGAGGGACCATGTGAGTGCTTTTGGGAGATTTCCAGTCTGGATAGTAATCACATAGGCGGGAACAAATTTCCTCATCTAAATCACGTCTTCCATTATCTTGCAGATCTTTCTCTCCACAGGATCTCACTGGATTGTGATACATTTTGAAAACCTATGAAAATTAACAAAAGTCAATATCAGCAAGCTGAAAAAATATTTAAAATACAGCAAGTAAATATGTGTTGCTGCAACTCCATTCCTAAAAGTGAATTCTGAGTTTTCACAGAAGCAAGTGAAATCTTACAGTGTAAACATGCACAGTTTTTAAGTGTCATTTTGATAAGGATAACAATAGTTCCCCAGTAATTTGTTTAAAATTAATAAAGGGGTAAGTTTCTAAAGAAACTGTGGTGCTGTGTCAGTGGGGAGTATAACTAGATAATTTTGGTTTTATCAACTGAATCGATTGTGCAAACTGACCACCCTGAAAAGTATCAAAGCTTTAAACCTCTTTACAGTTGCCAATTTACAGTATAATATCAACTAAGTTTAAAAAATCAAATTTATCTTGTTTAAAATTACTTTGCCATGTTTATATTATGTGACTAAGTTTGTGAGAAAATTTTCTTGACTGAAAAAGTGAAAGAGAAAAACTCTGTTCTCACTGAATCACTTTTAGGGGACACAGGAAGAATTGAGACTGCCACTAAAATAGGTGTATTGTTATTGACATACATGTCATTATCATTCTCTAAAAGAATTTTCAAAATCAGAGGGTATGGATCATCAGGTCCAGCTGCTTTATGAATAAACAATCTGTTCAGCAGTTGATCATTTTTCTCCCAATCTGCAATTAACCCTTTAACTCCCAGAAGTGATTTATATGTAACTTCTCCCAACAATATCCCTCAAACACATACTGAGATTACTCAAACTCATCAGTTAGAGGTTATCATGATATAACACCAAATTCTGGTAACTAAATTACAAGGAAATGTGTAAAAGCTAAATGGGAGAATTAACAACCAAATCTTGGGAGTTAAAGGGTTAAGAGGCCAATATTCTGACAACATATTTTATTCTGGTTTGAGGACCATGAAGCAATAAAAGGGTACTACTTATACTCTTTGGATGGGATGGCAGTAACCATTGTTAAACTTCCTATCCCTATATGGCTTCACATGTAGGTGGTACATAAACTTTGTGTGTGGGCTGTGTGTAATGCCTGGTATGCTGATGAAACCCCATGAATATTTTCAGTATAAATGTACACGTGTCTATATCCTACATTCTCCCTAACATAAAGGGTGTATCTGAGGTTCTTTGCTGCTGCCTACAACATCAAGGCATATGAACCAATTTTCAAGTTGAACACAACACTTAGATCTCACTTAGTACAACCTAAAGACACCCTGGAACCATCGAAACAAGACGGTGTTGTTTACAAGATCCCATGTGAATGCGGCAAAGTGTACAACGGTGAAACTGGGGGATCAATGTGAGAAAGGATAAAAGAACATGACAGAGACAACACAAAAACACAGCTCAAAATAATTAATGCATCGCTGAAGAGGAAATGTGACATTTATAGAAAACTTGTTTCAGTGCCCGCCTTATAACTTGAGCCCCATCTAAAAACACAACTATCTCAATTTTCGTATTTTGTAGTCTTTGGTATCCTTTTGAACAAAAAAGGGACCTCCAAACACAAATTTCCTTAGAATTATCAGGTTCGCGCGCTTCTGGAAGTTGAGTTTCCTTGAAATTCATCGTCAGAGGAAAAATATTTCCACTCAATTTACCTCTTCTCTTTCCCTCTTTTTCGATGAAGATGAAGTAGAAACTATTAACCACTTTCTGAGAACATAAATCGCTTGGGTAACTACCGATTACAGTAATTAAACTTACTTTTCACAGAGGAACCACCAGGTCCCGACACTTAACTTTCCCGCTTGTTCAACATAAATGGAGAGTTCGCTTGCGCACTTGGAAACGAGGCCAAAATGTGACAATTATCCCCAGGCTGCCTCCATGATTCGACATTGGTAAAGGAACGACTAAGTTTAAACTGAAGAATAGATAGATGTCCTAAGATGGGCGAAGAATCGGTCGATATAAGCGTTATAGAATACTTCAAAACTGGAGAATCACTGGATAAGAAGAAGAAAAGGAAGATTCTTGACTTGTTCAAGTTTTTAGGGGGAGGAGAAAGCCCTACCGAAGCGGTGGAATTGACCGTCCGTCGAAATTGGAATCTTCGCGAAGCACAGCTGAAGGCCGTATATGAAATGGTAAAGCTTGTTGAAAATCCACCAAGCTTGGTAAGTTTTAAGAGGAAAATATTTCCAGATTTTATCTCACTAAGAAGTGATTTATATAATTTACTTTCTTTGCGATACTTGGCGATGGATTTCAGAGTTCCTGGAAATCTATGATTGTGCGAAATTTAAATATAATCCGATGGAAGGTGCGACCCTCATGAACAACACGAATGTAAACTAACTAAGGAACGTTTGATCTGTTAGCCTTACTATGCAGTGCTTTTTAAAGATTTATGTCGATTTTCTTCCTTTAGATAGAGCGTGTTTTTATGAAAGTAAGAAAACGCAAAACTCTTTTTTGTGCCGATCATCCACCAGTAATCTAGATTTAGCCAACGATACATTCATAAGCTTTCAATTGAAGATATTCGAACAGTAAAGAGAAAATGTTTTGCGTTCCTTTTGAGATGCAACCAAGACAAATACAGAATGTGGAAACTGAAATGGTGAACCATTGATGTAAGCATGTGTGGTCTCTTCATTTCGAAAGTTACGTACTGCAAATTGTTTAAATATACATGTATTTGCATGACGAATTACAAGAAATTGGTTTCAGTTTTACAGTGGCTGTGATATTGTTACTATGTATAATGTACCCATTCATTGGTATGATTACCTAACTGGAAGAAGAATTTTAAAAGAGTTCACCAAAGGTGACTTTTGTGTGGAATAGCCCTCACATCAAAGAGCTTGAATAATTATTGAAAGAAGACAAAACAACACAGAATCAGTCTGGTTGTCTGTTTGAACCTTGGAGGATGTAATGGGCATTTTCCATTAATTGAGATATCCTAATATCTGACAAGGCTTCAGTATTATAATAAGGTACATTTGTAATTAATTGAGCTCAAGGTTAAATGATGATATTGCTCCTTGCATGTCAAAAGGGAGTTCATACCTGAATAGTTCAACAATGAAATTTGAGCCGCAATTGCTATGTATAACCATCTGCATCAAAAAGAAACCTTGACAAATAATGCTCTAAATTGGCGTGACTACTGTTCTGCACGCAATAGAGAGGTCCATCTTATTCGTAATGCCAAGTGCTCTTTTTACTGAAACTCAACAACAACCTTGAAAATCATAAAAATCTTTGGTGCATTATTTGTAGTCTTGCACCCTCCAAATGTTCCAAATTACCAAATCATCAACCATTGATGATAAGAACTATCATGATTATTATGATATTGCCTACCTTTATAATGAGCACTTTGCCAATATCTTTTCCTTGAGGGCCTTCTATTACTTCCGTTAACACTCAGTTGAATGAAGTTGCTAGAACTGTATCTACCTGAGCTGACAATAATCGTCATTCAACACTTCCAAAAGTAAATCTGTACTCCTTACGACTCTGTAGAAATGCAGTACTCTAACCAGCTCAGTGCTCAATGTCCAGATAGGTGGTAGATATATTGAGCAAGGGGACCATGCCAAGTTGCTTGGTGTAATGATAGATGGTAGCATGTCTTGGGAGCACCATATCAATACAATCTGCTGCATGTTTAGCAGTAGGCTTTCTCTTCTCTGTGGTATCAAATCTTATCTCAACTTTGGTTCTGCTTTAAGATTCTATAACTCTTGTGTTAACAACTACTTTATTTATTGTTCTGCTGTGTGGGAAAACTGCTTCCACCATCTCTTCTTATGACTCCTGTGTCTTTAGAAGCATGCTGGGTGTATAGGCCTTGATGCTGACTTCTCTTCGGCTTCTCTTTCTTTATTTCTGAAACTGAAGTGGATCCCCATTTTTGATCTCATTAAATACAGGAAACTTTTTCTTCTTTTCAGCATTCTCCTTAATACGAACGCTTCTAATTGCCTCAGGAACAGATTTCAGTTTCTTTCTGATTTGCATGGACCTTTGGGCTGTTATACAAGAGCCTCTCTCTATGACTTAAAAGGTGCTATACCCACATGGTAACTCTGGGAAATGCACACTTGCCTATAGTACTACTAAACTCATCAATGAACTCAGTTCTGACCTAAAAGAGTTCTCTACTTCTTCCTCTCTGTTGACATTCAAATTTCTTCCCTCCTCTCTCAAATCTAAATTACGAAATCTATTTCTCTCACATCTATCCTCTTCTGAGCATTTAGAGGATCTACTGTGTTCAATTTGCTGCTATTGTATTCATTGTTAATGTTCTTCATAATGCCAACCACAACCCCTGTTGAGTATTTTGTACATATTTCACTCTCTTTTATCAATTTATATATTACAATTACGTGTTTTTAAGTTTTTAGTCAATTTAGATTTTAGAATTTTATTGCGTGTTATAGTTTATTCTACTTTAGATATCATTTCTCTTGTATGTATATTAAAATTTATTTTTGAGGGCTGTACGTTAGGAAACTAATAGGTTATTGCATTGCCCTTATTCATTCATCATTCATTATCCAAGGGGAATCTGGGGGCATTTAATTTTTAGCATTCTTGGCTTTGAAAGGAGTACCAATCATAATAATTTTTATCAACCACAAAATTTTTTTTTTTGAACAAAAAGTTTTTCCTTAGATACTGTAGGCAGAATTGCACTTTGAATACCTTCCCAGCCTCTTATCTATTTTGTAACTCTCAGAAAATTTTGAAGCTCACGGTTTGTAATATACTTATTAAATGATCATTAATGAACAGCTAATAGGAAAAGAAGAGCAATCGGTTAGATTTTATGGGTATCCATGACACTGCTCACAGGCTAAACAGACTGCAGTAGAATGCTGATAACTAGCTTTTATTGAAACCCCTGTTATTGATGTCTTACTTTTTTGTCTTTCCCTCTTTTTTTTAGAAAACTGGAAGTCCTGAGAAAAAACTGGTTCTTAGTGTCCTTATTAGCTCAAATCTTCTCAGCTTTGTGGTTAGACTTCTTTGGATACGTGTTCCTAATGAGTGCACAGAGAACAGTGAACCTTGGAATGCAGGATATTTTAATAGCCTGGTAGTCTTGAAACACATTTTGACTCTTCCTCAATATACTCAAACAAACCGATCACAAATTACAGAATTGAATACTGTAGAAGCTGTGTTGGACTTCTGTGATGCTGACCTTGATCTTTTAGCATGTTATCCAGCAGTATGTGCGTTAAAAACTTTGAGTTGTTTGCACCGTGAAACTTGTGACAAAATCATCTCATTAAATGCACTCCCAAAGCTTGGAAACTTGATTTCAAAAGATAATTGTCAAAAAATGGTTGTCAAAGCCTATAGGCGAGGAGTACAGCCATATGAAAAACGTGTTTTACGTGATCGATATGATCAGTCTGAAGAAAACTTCAAAGATTTCACCGTTCCTTCCATTGCTGATAGAGAATTGAATGTTTTACGATCCTGGAGCTGGAAAATGCAGATGTCAGCTTCTATAGTAATTCTACAGGTAGGAGTACAGTATTAAAGTGGATAACTTTGTAATTACTATGAATTTTTAAAATCTTTAAAATTATGTTCTGTGCTGGTAGAGCTGGAAACCCTCAAATTTGGAAAAATATATCAGATAACCTACACCTGTATGATGGCAATGAAGTGTTGCACAACTGTCTGTAGTCTCAAAACTCAAATTTTGCTAAAGGTTGGCAAACATTTTTTGTTTTCACTGAACACAGGTATCCAAATAATACTCATAGAGCTTCTTGAGCGCTCTGGCACCAATAGCATCTGGCTTTTTATACATATCTTCAAAGGATCTAAAGGTTGATGCAAATTTCGAGCAAAGTGGTGTTAATTTACTTCATGATGCTAAAAGCAAGTGAGCTGGTGAATGTTGCAAACTGTAAGTTGTGTGTATACCAAAATTTATTTTTGATTTATTAATTTTCTTTCAAGGTTGCAGAACAGAGTGATAAATACAGAAAACTTGTTTATAAAGATAAAACAATATTAAAGGTAAGTTGCATTAAGTGAAATACCTACTAGGAGACTAGAACTTTAAATTGTTTTTGGTGCCTTGAGTATTATGTGTGTACTGTAGAATTCATCAGTTAAATTTCTGCTATAGCTGTACTGGTGCATAATGTACATGTAGGTGTACATAAATGGAAGTGTTCAAGCTGCATGCAGAAGTATGGGTGGTCAGAAAGTTAAAAAGGTTAAAGAACTTTTTGAAGTTGATGGCTAAATCATCTCAGTAGCAGAAGATACATTAGACATCTTCAGTAGCAGTAGAAACAGTAGACACAGTAGAGACTTCAGTAGCAGAAGACACAGTAAATATCTCAGTAGATTTAGTTACAGTAGACATAGTAGAGACTTCAGTAACAGAAGACACAGTAAATATCTCAGAAGCAGGAGACACAATAAACACCTCAGAAGTAGAAGACAGTCAACAGACATCTCAGTAGCAGAAGAGAGTCAATAGCAATCTCAGTTACTGTAGCAGAAGACACTGTACACATCTCAGTAGCAGGAGACATGGTAGACACCTCAGTAGCAGAAGACACGGTAGACATCTCAGTAGCATAAGGCACAGTTAAAGAATAAGAATAAGAAAGTACCCTTAGACTGTACAGTTGTACCCCACATCTGAATGAAAAAATGTAGAGGGCCAGGCAGATAAATCTTTTATATTATCCAAAGAGTTGGCACTCTGGCCTGTGGTGTCCAATGAACACTCTGCCTTAGGTAGATGCTACACATGTTGTCTAAATGGAGTGGTTTGCCAACTTCAGGCACAGGTGAAATTTCTGGATATGTTTGTCTTTTAGGCCTTATTAAAACGGTTTAAAACTCCTGCAATAACTGCAAATGACTGCAACATGAGTGCAATGAGCATGAAGGTTGTTGGCATGTTGGGCCTGAGTGAGGAGTTATGTTGGCAGTTGATGGATGTGAATGGTATCATTAGATACCTGGAAGATGGAAGTATGTCAAATAAATATTGTTTTTCTTTCTAAATGTGAATGAGAATATTCATAAATTTTTAATCATTGGCATTCAGAGATAAAATTTGCATTCATATGGTAGCCATACATTCTAATTATATTAGAGACAGGGAAACATGTAAACTTTCATCCTCCACTCCTTTTGAAGTAGATCACAATTTGATATTGCACGTGAATGGGTCATCAGTTTGTGAATGCAGGGTAAAACCCCTAATTGACAGAGCCAGAATAAACTCTTTCAGAAGGTGGGAAATCTTGTCCTTTTTCAACAAATTGTCTGGGGAATTTGATGATGGTACTGGGGGGGGGGGGAAGAACCTGCAAGGCTAGTGGCATTACTTGCAGAAGGAGCACTAGCACTTTCAGATGTATAATTCCCTAAATTTGGAAATGGCAATTATGGGGAGGTAGGCTTATAATATTAATACTTAAAAGGATTGTCAGAGATTTTGTTTGCATTAAATATGATTCTCAGATCATATAATTAAGTCTCAATGAGAATAATAAATTGTTGTGTTGTTATGTATGAGTCCAATCCATTGCCAGTTGCTGTCTCTACCCAGCAATTTAAAGACCCTCCTATATGATTGTTATTAGTTTTTCTTTAAAGAAATATGACTGTGAATTATGTAATCCTTGGTCTTGAGATTGTTTTAATGTGTTCATCATCATCATGATAAAGAGGGATTCCTCAAGTGATAAAATATGTTTTCTTCCCTCTAAATTTCTGTAGTCCTTTTGCCTGACAATGGACCACTAAATTCATATTTGGAGACAATACTGCAGATGTCCACACACAGTGGTCGCTGTAGAAACAGATTACTGGAGAGTGAGGTAAATGCAAAGCTGAACCTACATGTTGCAACTGCTTGTAGTGAAATGTTCAGTTCTTTTTATGTTCGACTTTGTGAAACCATTGTGAATTACTGACTAGCAATGTTCATTCTTTGTCCTCAAATACGAACCAAAAGTATGAGAAACCAATTACAAGGTCTTACCTTTTTATAAACAGGGTGATGAAGATCAAATCTTATTGTGGTAGATGTAATGCTCAGCTAATCTTTTTCTTTCAGTGGAGAATGTACTTTTCAGTAACTGTAGAAACTGTGCTCCATTTTCTCAATCCGTACTCCACAGAATTTTTGTAGATGTTGTTTCAATTGTGTTAATACATTTTGTAACATCACTGCAGGAAATTATCCATGCACTTGGAAGATACATGTTCTCTTTCCACAAGGAGGTAAGTACATGTACCATTCTTTTTTTTCTAGGTTTCTTTACTCCTGTTCAAATTGAATAGTCAATGCTTTCTGGACATACACTTTTATACCAGATGCTCTGGCATTTTCTTTTCTTTCAAGAACCTCCATTCAGATTCTATTTTTTGTAACTTTGTGTTCTCTCATCAGCCAGCACCAGTTGTTTCAGAGTGCATTCTCTTATCTCTGGCTTTAACTTTGAGATTTGATCGATTTATAACTTTTTCCAACCATACCAATACCTTCTAGTGAAGTGATGAGAATTACATTAAGCGAATATATCAGATAAAAAAGTGTTATCTTGATTTAATACCAAATTATGTCCTTATCTTTGAGGTAATGCATGGCAGGTTGAAAAGGAGAATTCCATTTTAAAGGGTTGTGAAGGAGCTTTCACTGTTCTTCATTTTGAGTCCAAAACAATTCAAACATGAGTGAATCAAACGGGGTTTGCATACTATTTCCATAATCTCTCATGTGCTGCAGATTGAAGGCCCAGCCCTACGTACCATTGCAAACCTGGCAGAGTCTGAAGACCTGGCTAAGAACTTAATAAAGTGTGGTGTAACTCCAAAAAGTATGGCCATAGTCATCACTTACCATCAGGTATCAGCACTGGAATTTGCATTATTTTTTTATTTATTTTTAATTTGAAGACTTTGTATGAGTCTTGCATATAAATGGACATTGGTAAAATGTAACATTTACCTATGCTGTCTTAATTAGACTACACATGTGAGCGTCAGTTTATCCATTGATTATGGTTTTTTTTATTCTTAAAGCATTCTTCTCGCCAAATTGCTGAAAAGATAGAAAAAATCCTGCAGCGTACCTGTGAAAAGTAAGTCAAGATTTAGATTACAACAGTCTTCCTCTGCTCACAGGTGTTGCACTTAGTAAACCCTATAGGTGATCAGATTGCTTTCAGGGAACTATGAACTCATCATAACAGGCCTCACTCCCAATGCGAGGCTTCGTTTCGCTTTGTAGCTCAGGTGGTAATAACACCTCTACAACATTTGGAAGGTAGAGGTGCAATCCCTTTTGAGGGCTGCATTTTTTTCAGAGCCTCTATATTTTTTGCAATGTTTTCAATCGCAGTTCGGTCATCACTTGCAATGCTTTTCAAGGTGGTTTGATAACTAGCTGTAAATACCTAGATGTTAAGCATGTTGGATCTTACAAGCTGTTAACGAGAGGGTGAACCAGTTTTTTCATGTACTTTTGAAGCTCTCAGGTTACAGATTCAGGTTAAAGTGGCAGTATAGTCAGTGCGTCAGACTCCATAAGCAGTAGTCTGGTTTTGAGTCTTGCAAAGGTCATCGTGTTGTGCTCCTCACTAACAGTTTGTTCAGAAAAGCACGCTGTAACAAAAACGGGAGATTCGCCATTTTGTTTTAGCCAAAATCAGCTTGGCAGAATCAACGATTTTGACGAATTTTAGTCAAATTCGTCAAAGCGAAATTATCTTGGCAGATTTGACGATTTTGACGAATTTTCGCCATTTCGTTACTGCTCGCATTTTTGGACTTATCTCTTATTCTTTAGCCAAACACTTCACTCTTGCAGTGCCCTTCACCTCTAAGGAGTATCAATGGGTATTAAAAACCCCTCTGGGAAACCTGACAAAATCTTGGGCGGTTACCTGCGATGGACTGGCTTTCCTTGTTGGGGGAATGCTATTACTCGCCGTCGCTTAGTGATACAGAAATGGGCGATCACGACAGGGAGATGTGTGTTACTCGGTTCTAAGATACAACCTCGCGATAGAGAGGTAAATTTGTTTGGAATTAACATTTTCCCACTTGGAAATCTCTTTATAGAGAATGGAAAGAAGAGGAGGTAGCATTTGGTAGCAAACAGCGTATTGAATTCTTCTCACGTCTGGACGAAGATCAGGCGCAAAGTCTAAAGGATCAAGGCAACAAAAAGTTTAAACAGGGCTCGTTTGACGAAGCAGTGAAACTTTACACTGAAGCATTGAACTGTGTTCCTTACTGCTTAGAAGTGAACAATGCTAGAAAAGATGGATCACGTTGGTAAAGAAAAATTTATTTGTTTTCCAACGCGTGGAGAAACTAATAGTTTTCGTTTATGGAGTCGTGAGATTCATGTTAAGGTCTGCCCTCGACGGCAATGGTCTTTACGTTGTGTTCCTAAACACAGTTTTTAAACTCAGGATAGTCCGCCTCTCAACTCAAGTAGTTTGCATGAAAGCAGCTCCTGGCGAACTTGATGACATTTAGTTTTTACGTTAAGTTTAACCCTTAAACTTCAATGCGTTACCAAGACAGAATTTCTCCTTACATTAAAAATTCTATGTCGAGCAGACTAGTGATAAGAATGAATAGCAGTATCAATTAGGGGATTATTAGTTGATCCAATACCAAATTCTCCTAACGAAGATCATAAGAATTGTATGGCAAACTTTTAGGAGAATCCCGATTTTATACTGGGTGTGTTGGGGAGGGGGAAGCATGAAGAAAGAGTTCGTCAGGCTGTTAGATAGTGTAATCTCATCGCCAGGACGAGAGAACTAAAGCAAAAGTCATAATTTGCGTCAAGAGACCCAATTAATGCCAATGATCACCTCTGCTTAGGTGAACGAATTACATGTGTATGTAATTGAGAAAGTCCCTTTTGGGACCACGGGATAAACTGGTGCTCCTGAGTTGAAGCTATTTTACTAATTGATTCTTAATCTGTCATCGACTTTCATATCTGGCCGAAAACTGACGAGCTAGAGAGTGGCATGCGAAATCTTCAGTCGTTGTTTATCTTTTTCTTTTTTTTTTTTTCCTTCCAGGTGGGTTTTACCAGCCGTGTTGTACAGTAACCGTGCGCAGTGCCATTTGAATAACTCTGACTGGGAGAGTGCCTTGAAGGACTGTAACGAAGCAATGGCAAGGTGCCTTGAAGGTGCATAGCAAATAACTAATGTTGGCTCGTTCGTTTGTTTTCTTGACATTTTGCGCTTCTTTCTTTTCCTTTTTTCCTTTTTTTCTCAGTTTCCGTTCATATGTCTGCTTGCTCTTTACTATAGTCCGGTGAAAGTGTAGAAGATCTGTTCCATTTAATAATAGACATCAGCCTGTGAGGTCTTTAACTACTGAATATTGACATAAATTTAACACAAGCTCGTGTGTCCCAGGTCGGTGAATAATTACGACAATAAATTATCGTCGACTAGAAGCATTAATTCAACTGATATTTAAGTTTCTCTAAACTTTTATTTTCAGACAACGATGAGTCCGAAAAAATACTTCTAAAAACTATGTTCCGTCGCTCTAGAGCATGGATGGAATTAGGCTATCTCTTCAGAGCACTGAATGATATTTCTCACTGTCTGAGAAACCAGACGCCCGGTGAAAGTAATTTCCAGTCATATTACTGGGAGGTGAGAATGACAAACATGCATTATTATCTTTACGAAAGATATCAATGTCTTGGCAGTTGAGCGGGGATTGTGCAGTGGTAGCCAGAAGACAGGGGTAAATTTTAGCGTTTTTCCGGCCAGCGGAGGTAGTTGTTAGTGCGACGCCAGTGCGAGGTGTGCGCGAGGGAAGAAGAGGAACAAAATACACCCCTCCCACCCTCTCCCTAGCGCTCCTCCTGCTCGCCCAATTAAGCTAAAGATGGCGCGTGTTTCACAGGGTAGTGCTGTGATGAAAGAGGTCAAATCACGTGTTGAAGCCGCGCAAAGACTAGTTCCTCCTTGATAATGAGGGGTGGAGACACAGTTAGGGTAGTTGTAAGAAATTGTCAACCCTTTACTCCGTAATATCAGTATGCATATTCTCCATTCTGTTCTCCATATATTCCCCTAGGCACTGATAAGGAGAATTTGTTTAACAATAAAGAGCTTCTTTCCATGGATCGCGCGACCTTAGTGTATGATTCAGGGGTGACATTGTCGAGAGAAATTAGATGCTGGTCACTCGAAGGAGCCCAAGGGTTAATAAAACAAGGGAACACATTGTGATTCTTGTGGTTTTTCCGTTATTTCTTCCTCTCCGTGATTGATGAAATGGCAACGCTAATGTTTGTTCATATGTTCCAGATTATGGTCAAGTACCGCAGTACATGTGGCATAGAACCTATCCGTCGCTGTGGTAACTGTGTTGGTGGAGAAGGGGACAAGTTGAAAAGATGTGGAAACTGTGACGAGGTCTACTGCAGCCGTGAGTGCCAAGTGTTTGCTTGGGAACTGGGTCATAAGACTTATTGCAAAAAGTGAGAAAAACGGAAAAAGAGACAGTAAGATTTCCGGTATACACTTGAAATAGTAATACCTCGAAACAACTATCGTTGTTAACCACCGAAAATTGTTCTTTGCGGCCGGATATAAGATTTTTCGTGTTTAAAAAACTCAAAAAAGATATGTTTAAGTTTTAAGATAAGGGAAAAGCAAAACATTGAAAAAATCTCACAGGACTAAGGAATCTACACTATCGCTGCTTGCTTTTACCGGTGAACTAAAAGAAGGTTAGTTCTTTTTATTCGAGAAAACAAGAACTCCTGAGGTAAATTTCATGCGCATGCTAGAAGCGCCTATGATGCGGCTTTTGATAGATGGGAGTAGATATGGCAACTAAATGTCGGCCACTGTGACCTTTACCAGGCGTATTGATAGTAAACGGACGCAAAAATAGCATGGGGTGAAGGAGGGAGGTAGGTTTTTTTGGGTCGCGGAAGGAATGCTTCTTTGTCGCGGTGTTTGTCGCTTTGTTAGTCGCGGTGACTAACAATCTAGATGGTGGGAACATCTTTTTGCATGGTACTACCTGGAAACGTTATCTTTATTTAGCGAATATGACTTTTCATTTTCATTTTGTTCATTGCTTAATTTGTTTGCTGTAATTTTAATTTAGTTATGGAGTATCCAAAGTCATTGATACGATCATTAGTCAATAGGATTTATATAATAGGCTACATTTTGATTGCTTTTTACTTATGATATTAGAGTACGGACGCATAGATGACGTCACCATCGACACATTTCGCTTCTATACTATATAAGTGAAATAGATTCCAGGTTGCCGTGCTTCTGTTCAGTCATAGATCACTAAAGACGTTAACCCTTTAACCCCTAAGAGTGACTAGCATCTAATTTCTCCCTACAATACAGCCCTTGAAACAAACAGTAAGGTCATGAGAATAGCGGAAATGATCACTAACTAAAGCGGCTACTGATTATTAAACAAAATTCTCTTTGTCAACACCTTTGTAAATGTTTAATGAATAGTATGGAGAATATTGATACTGATGTTAGGGGGTAAAGGGTTAACATGTTTTGAAACATCAGTGATACATTCAGCTTCATGTTACTTTGTTTTTTTTTCCTACCGCATTTTGACGTCGTCCGTGATCTGTTACTGAAAGACGGCACGGAAACATGGCATCTGTTTGTTACTGTTGAGAGTACTGCCAGCAACTGAACGGGACGTTGCTCTAAAATGTGGTCGATTCATTTAGCAGTTCAGCATTTGGCATTTGGATATTGGGCGTCGTCTGTCCATATTTCCTGATAATTTCAGTTTTTTTTTTACGTTTGTGTTTGTAAATATATATAGCCATGGATATGTAACTAAAAACGTCATCTCCTAAAGCCTATTTGATTGCCAACGACTGGGCCTCCCCTCAGGGATGCATTCAATAACTTTGCTTTACCACAAAAGTGAGCTTTTAGTGGAACAATTGTTCCTAGGAGCCACTCGGCCGTAGGCTTTACGTTTGATTGAATTGTGTTACCTTAGTGTAGACGTTGGTATCGTTGTTAACAGGCAAGGCTTAGTGTTCTATGATACATTGTGACTCAACTGAAACACGTCAGTTCGTGTACCGAAGTGGTTCACCATTTTAACCCTAAGAGTGATCAGCATCTTATTTCTCCTAACAGTCGTACTGCTGAATCATTCATTAACCTTTAACTCCCATGAGTGACCAGGACAGAATTTCTCCTTACAATAACAATACAATATCAAGCAGACAAGTGACGAAAATAAAGACAAATATCAATTTGTCTTTATATAAGTTGATCCAATACCAAATTCTGAAAACTAACATCACAAGAACAGAATGGCAGATAGTAAGGAGACTTGCTAGTGAGATCTTGGGAGTTAATGGTCAATGATCGCCAACCTAAGAAGCTCAGACTGTTGAACGAACTCCTCTTGTTAGTACTGAACGAAACGTACAGAGAAGTGTTGGAGAATATAAATACTGACGCTGGGGTGTAAAGGGTCTTAAAAAGCTTCGTTTAACAACATGATTAAAGGTGTAAAACTTAGAATGTGGAGAGAATAAATTGATTTCAAAAACGAAGACAGTCTTTCAAAACGACCTTGACCCATTGTATCCGACTGACTGTAGATTTGTTTGGTGTTGTGTTTTAACTGCTAGAAGCTAACCAAGTGATAGGATGAGTTTTCCACCAGAAAAAGAAAAAAAAAAGGAATGCAGGGTTCAACATCAAGAACGAAATTTTTTTATCATGCATTTTATTAAGTGAATTCGCATTCCACTGTCGTGACTTGATATCATTTATGGGATCACCCTGAAAGACAAAAACTGCATATGTAACGGACTGGACACTTTTAAAATCTTTCTAACCACATTAATACAGCCAATCACTGTTGAAACTTATAGTGATCAACTTTGCTGAGTAGCGTGATGCCAATGACTTTTTTTTTCGTAGCAAAAGAAAACAGCTTTATAGAATTAGGCTTTTTGCATAGCACAGATCGTCAAGTTCCCTGATATATTGACTTTTCTCACTTCTTTTATGAAGTTGGACGTCACAACATTAGAGTTGTTTTCAACTGAGCGTCTTAAACCAAAACAAAAATAATCTGAGCGACCAATCAGAGCAAAGGTTACATCATCATTGGCCAACGAGGACTCGGAAAAGAAAAACAAGCGGTGCTTAAAGCGCAGGAAAGCGCTGATGAACAAATCGTTTTTGGTTGAGAGGATGGCGCGAGGTTTCTGGACCAATCAAAGGGCGAGGTGAAGTAAAACCAAAGTAATCTAGGATTACTTCGACAAGCAAGGAAAACAAGCAAGGTGCTTGAAGCGCGGAAAAGCGCTGATGGGCAAATCGTTTTTCTTTTGCATGTCATTGATTAAGAGGATGGCGCGGTTTCTGGACCAATCACAGGGAGATGTGAAGTCAAACCAAAGCAATGCAAGATTACTTTCGACGCTTTAAAACTTGCCCTAAGATCCACTGAAGTAGGTATCTAAGTTATCGATTACAGAGTTCAGTCTTGCTAAAAGAAGCGAGAAAACTTCCCAATCAACTTCCTTTTTAAGAGCTTTCCACGTACCATAGAGCGACCTTATCCCATCAATGTCGTCCTGATGCAGCTTGGGTGTACCTCGACTTGCAGTCGGCCACATCACTGTGCCCTTCACGTCAGAGTGTCTAAGTCCTAAGGCGTGACCAATCTCGTGCACAGCAACATAAAGTAGGCTCTGTGATCCATTCCACCATGAACCAGTCTCGGTGAAGTATTCATCATCGTCAAAATGAAGTCGACCATCTTGTGGATAAAAAGCATGAGCCAGAACCTTGCCTTTACCATCAAAGTCGGAATAACACTGCCTTTCGCCTGGGACACCAGAGTGCTTTCTTTTACCAAAACTGAAAATGAATTACCAGTCAGTAGCTTGTGATAAAGAAATTTTGTTTGATATGCCAACACCGATAATTTAACAGGGTGTAATTTTCTTTTCAGATGTCGTCGAAATTTCAGTCACAACAACGCATAAAATTTGGCGAAATTAATTTGCATCATTTATGCAGCACAGCATTGTGTGTATTTTGTAGCCTGTTTCAGAAAACTAAAATCACCAGGCAGAAAAGCAACGACAATCCATGTTTGAAGGTCAGCAACTGACCAAACAAGCAAAAAATAACTGCCATAAAGAAAACAGTTGCTCATGGAAATTTATTGGAACTTGGAACTTTATCGGAACATGGAAATAATTGGAACCAAGTTTAAAGGTCAGCAACTGACCAAACAAGCAAAAACAAATCGCCATAAAGAAAACAGTTGCTCATGGAAACAACCAATCGAAGCTCAAAAGAAGAAAATGACCAAAAAAAAAACAAAAAAAAACTCGACAGACAGGCGAAGAAATGAACAAGCTCTCTGACTAAACTGACTGACTGACTGATTGACTGAATAAATGATCGATTGATCGATCAACGCGATGAAAAAATGGATTGTGAAAGAAAGGAAGGAAAGGAAAATGAAGGAAAGGGAGGAAGAGAGATTGAATGAATAACAATAAGAATCTAAGTGGATAGATAAAAAACTGCTCGGACGAATAAATGCGAAGTTAAATTGATGACAGTAAACCTGATTCTGAAGTCTGCATTCGAAACTGAAAGAGTTCTTGTAAACCTCAGCTTAGATGCAACGGCGCTCCACATTTGAAATGCCCGAGCCATAACTCTAGCCTGATCCGCTTCTGACATGTCTTCGCCAAAAGACAAGTAGTACTTGAGATCTGTTTTACGCCACTTTCCCCATGTACTGAATCGTTTAATGCGCAAACGCCCGCCATTTTCATCAACATCTGGGACCCCACATCGTGGTTTCTTCATTTGGTATAAAGTTTCTTCGTCTAATTCGCCAGTCACAGGCAGACCAAAGAATTTCTGGAAGTTCTTTAGCGCGGTTTTTACGTCATGGTTGCCTGATCTGCTTGGCGAGAGGTAGTGATAGTCTGATAGGTACTTCTGAAAGTCGGAGCACATCAAACAAACAACGTCGATATTACTCTTCAGGATTTCAAAGGCATAGTCAGAATTTTCTATGTACAAGTGACATTACGCTTCGTAATACTCTTCTAATTGAGTGACACATTACATTCAGGGATAAAAGGGAAGGGAAACTAAAAGGAATTTGAAAGTTTTTTAGGTATGAAGGACCTATCTACTTTTTTTTTTTTGCGATGTTGGTTTTTCAAAGCATACGCCGTTTATTCTGTCTGCGGTGAGCTTTTATCTTTGGCCTTTTATCCAGTGGCAGCACGCTATATCCATTTACAAAACTATATCAAGAAAATCCCTTCAACAATTGAAAAAGAAATTTACTTAATAGACATTAACAGTCACGGGAAGTTGAATTTCAATTCAGTAAATACCCGCCTAATTTAGAAAACTGGTTGATAGGAAAAGAACGGAGGAATAACAATTATGAAGCTTTTTTTCATAGTGAGTCGTTTTTGGCATAACCTCATGTCTTTAGAATACAGCACTTGGATTTTCATGAAACAATGCAAAGCACAAATCGGGTAAAGTCGGCTTCAGTGGGGTTTAGTAAAGTCTTTGCATTGTGTTTATGGAGTCCTTCTAGTCTTACCATTGCAAATTCACCATCAGTTGATTCCTCCTCACAAGAGGCGCCATGAATGATGACTGAGGTCACAAATAATACAAGATGAAACCACATGATCATTAGTAACTTTCACTCTGTTTGAGGAAAGTGATAGAATGCAGTACGTTATAACTTTGCGTAAAGGAAACCTCCTGATTTCAGCTTTCAGGTGCTGTAACTCAGCTTTTTTGCAAAATAAATAAGCAGTCCCATTGGTTATGAAAAAAAGAAAAAAAAATCACAGCACTATTCTTTTTATTGATTAATTCGACCAGCGGATCAAACGAGGTGTATTTTTACTTCAGTTCCTTTTTGAAGCATTGTTCATTTTTGCAATCAGGCAAAACTGGCACATGTTTATTCAGCATTGGATAATGGATCTAAAGAGATAAGGCGAACAACTGAGTAAAACGGGCGGCTTATCAAAAACGTCTTGTATATAAAAGGAATTATTTGATTTGTGATATTCACCTGAGATTCTATAGTCGTGGATCTCCCATTTGTGAAAACTAAAAGGAAACAACTATTATCAAATTATGTAGTCTCATTCATTGAAATATATGATCTTGGTCTGTGAAAAGATGTACAAGTCGAAAGAGGCATATCTTAATTCGTTAATATTGTTATTTATTATTTTTTTTAACTAGTTAAAAGCCGGACCCAATATCAACACAACCAACAAAGCATTTACATTTCTTTTCTCTCTTTTAAGCCTCGTTCTCTACCAAGTTTTCAAAAACAAAAAATGTTAATTATCATAGTTTTAATTCCACAGTAGATTCTTTCCTTTTCTTTCTTTGTAATTTTATTAAATCCATTTAAGCGGTCGCTTGGCAAATTCATGTGATTTAAATTTAATTTGATCCATTGATTTATTGATTGATCCATAGTTCGATCAGTTGTCGAACTCTCTTCACCGCCACAACATCCATACAGCAAGCTGATGATAAAAGCGAGTAAACCCAGGTACACGTCTTCCATTACACGACAGCAGTAGTCCGAGGGGCAATGTCCTAAATAAACTAACAAGGTTGTTTACAACAATTGTTCTGGTGTACATTTTCACAATATTAATATCTGTTAATTGAATAAAGAGGGCAAGTTTTTAAAGAAACTGTGGTGGTGCTGCGTCGTGGGAGCGGAGGGGGTGTATTATTACAACTTAGCTGAGGATGTAAATCGGCCCCCGTAAAGAGTGTCTAGAGCTGACGTCTCGAGCGTCAGCCCTTTATGAGAGGGCATTTTCGGTTACGCGGTTTTGGTTTTTTTCATAGATCAGTTTTTCGGTTTTGGTGTTCATTCCGGTTTGCAGATTCCGTTTTCTTAGCATTTGCTTTCGGTTTTCTTAAAAACACGAATTGGTCTTTGGATTTGGTTTTCGACTTTTCCTATTTGGGTTCCGATTTCTCTTTGATCTGAGCGGCAATTATGCACCTCTACTAATCTCGAATAGCCGTCAAACCTCTGTATACTCCATTTGTCACTGTTTTGATAACTGGGATGTAAAAAATTATCGATTTTGATGGTTTTGCATGCAGTTTTCGGTTTTGATCGATTTTTCGCGGTTTTGCGGTCTATAATAGACCCCAATGCCCTCTTCCTTTGTCATTAGGTGTGGCGGAGTGCAAATTCTCAAAACGTCAGATTTGTTAATTGAATTTTAATATCTTCATGTTCTTCATGTTGTTATTCAAAGTACCGTTTGTGATTGTAAAAAGAGAATTCAGACTCGTTTCAATCACATGCCTAATCACCAATGTGTGCTCGTGCTCTATTGCTCATTGGACAATCAAAATGCGCCGCGAGAATGATGTAGGAGACAAGAAAACCGTTTTGGTTTCATCAATAGTACTACCGACAAATGAAACTATAACATAATTGCCGAACGTGATTGGTTATCACCAGCTCGGTTTGAGCACTAAGAGGACTCTGTACTCGTCATGCTTATGTAATTGGACATTATGCATCATGTACACGTGCTATTGTCACACATTTCGCCGAGTTAACTGTTGCTTTTTATGAAACCGTATACAACATGGTTATTTTTTTTACCCAATTTTGTCATGCAGTAAAGTAAACTAACAAATTATTAAGATAGTTTTGTGCTATTTAGTTTTGAGAACATTTTCTTTGAAACGTTGGCATTGCATCGAGATTTTAACGAATTTCTTGGCTGTCGCTTGCTACTCTACGAGTAATCTGAAGTAGTAAGGAAAACGAAAACCTCATTCAGTTTATTTATAAAATCTGTTCCACATGTACAAACGACTAAAACTATCGGCTAGAATAATCGCTAAGTGTCAGAAACGAGGCGAGTTCGTCAGCGATTTAAAAATTAGTAAATTCTGCGAAATGATGATCTAAGTTTCCAAATTTAATTGTGTGACCTACCGAAAAGATCAACCCCTTTTTTCCGAAGAAAAATGCGATGTCAAAAAGCAAGTTCGTGACCAACAGGAGTATTTTTAAATTGTATCGAACGGTTTTCAATTTTCAAATGTCACTTGTTAAGTTAAATGCAAACAATGGAACTATCAAACATAATCTTAATTACACTGACTTGATCACGTCCCAAATTGTAGATAAATCGCTTGTATCATGAGCACATGAAAATTCTGTCGGGAAACCAAACAGGAAAATCTTAAGGGGTACACATGTATGCCATGAAACTGCCAAGAGGTGTTTTCCCCGCTAAAGAACATTATTGTTACCGAGAGTTAGTGTTTTGGGTTGGTCATCATACGTTTTATATTTTGGATTTTGCGCAGCAAGTGGCAAAAATGAGTTAAACGGGACTCAACGCAAAGTCAATAGAGAATGTCGTAAACAATGAAGTAATATGGAATCTCGCACAAAAGACTTATTTGAGTAGCTGTAACAGCTTTTTTTTTTCATGTTAAAGTAAACATTAACTTGCACTTTTACTTGTTAAGCTGGTCGGAGAGAATCATTTGATACCCGCAACATACAGTAGGAAATGTATTTTGAAGTGTGGCTCTATAAAATACAATAAGAAATAGTTGTCGTAGTCAATTTTTCTCTCTCCATTTTTATGACATTTTCAAGGTTCCTTTTTTGCCGTATACCCTTTAAAATAAGCAAGCCACTTTTGAAATGCTCACTATTTTCAGTGATTTAGTAGATTTTCTGCGGCGTAGTTGCAAAGATGTTGGCTGTCGCGCTTCTAGTAGCATTTTTTATTCAAGTTGGTGTCGGTGATGAAGACCTAACTGAGGGCTTGGTAAGTTCGAAATCAAACTGAGTTTTTAAGACTTAAGCAGGAGATCATGCTTAACCTAATCATGTACGAGGGAAAATTTCTTAACTCTTGTTCCTCTTCTGGTATATCCTTCTTTCAGTCATCACCGAACTAGTCAGGGTACCGAAAATTAACAAATTGTTAGCGTTCCCTAAAAAAAATCAAATTTTGGTATTAGATTTTTTGTCAATTCCTCTGCCCAAGGCCTTCATGTCTTCAAAGAAGATGCATAAAACATCAAACATCAGTTTAGTAAAAATCAGATTTTGATCTGTGCTCATTATCTATTGCTTCAATGGTCAATTTTTCAGTTGGTCCTTTGCAATTTTCGTTGGATTTTTAGTCATTTTCGTACCAATTAAATGTTTACTTTTAGTTTATCACAAAATCGTCCAATTAGCGCGTCAAAATTAGGATAAGAAGGGCGCTTGATGCATGGACAGCACTTAGATAACTTTTCCCAAATCGAAGCAAAAAGAAAAAATTGCAGAGAAACGCTAACAAGGTAAAAGGCTCCTTAAAATATTTCATTTTCCCTCACAAATAAGGAATTCCTCAACCAATACGGGTACATATCACATACGCGAAGCGGCAACCACGATGTACCCACCGCCATCAGAAATTTTCAGGAGTATTTTGGCCTTCCAGCCAGTGGTAAACTCGATGACTCGACAATTAGACTCATGAAGAAACCACGCTGTGGAATGCCTGATCCAACTGGAGAATCTCGAAAGCGAAGATATGTCACCAGAAGCAAATGGTACAAGACTGAGTTAACGTATTACGTACAACCTGGCCTGGATCTACCAGCGGTAAGTAACATCTACTTGGGGCGGGGTTACATTTACCATCAGTTCATAGAAATAAACAAAACCGTGCAACGAGAATCTTGAGCGAAATTTAGTTCAGAAAGTAATACGAGATTGCATTAGATTTGCTTAACTTTGCTTTTTGATTGATCGAGAAAACTCTCACCCCCCCCTATGGGTCCTCATACGCTCCTTATCATATTCCTTTTGTTCTGATTGGCTTTTGCGATTCTTTTGGTTGGTCTGGCATTACGATATTCCTTGGAAGGCGTTTTATGACTGTAAGTTATTACTTACCCTTAAAAAAATGCAAAAAGCAGCATCAGCCAAGGAGAAATAAAAGCAAACAGAAAATAATACACAAACATAAAAAAACCCCGAAGAACACAAAGAGAGGCAAGAACAAACAGAAATTAGAAAAAGACATGGCTTATGCAGAATATTTTGGAAGAAAATACAACAAAACATTATGTGAATTCATGACTTTGAAAAAGAGTGAATTATCCCGACACCCTCACGTAAATGTGCTACCTCGTTTCTCTCTTAACCTTTTTGAATGTCCCCACAATTCTCTGCGATCAATTTATGCCTATCAAAGGAGTATACAGCCAGCAGCTTTTTCGAACAAGACTATTCCGTTTTGGAATATTTTTTAAAAATCCTGTAATTCTTATGAATTCAAAACAACTCATAGAAATCGAACTCTTTGCACAGGAACAACAAAAAGAGATATTTGCTAAGGCACTGCAGTACTGGGCTGACGTTTCCAAGTTATCATTCAGATCAGTTGAAAGTCCCAGTGAAGCTGACATCAAAATAAGGTAATCTAGACACGAGTTTAGCTGATTATAGATTAGTTAGATATGACTGTGATTTATCTGATGGATCACCTCCATGTACCTAAGATAAGAAGAACTTCACTACTCAACCAAAATACATGATCGCGAATGGTGTATGTTATAATCTGTTTCAGCCAATCCAGAGAAAAATTGACTATTTTTCGGCTTTAAGATATGCGTTTTACCAAGCAATGAAGACATGAAACCATATTGCAGACGAAGCCTACCGAAGTCGCTTATGGGAAAGTAATTTTACAAAGAAGTTGTAGTCTACGAATGACGAAATTATAAATCGTTGATAATTTTTCTTGAAATAGCTTTGGAACGTACAGCCATAATGGTACAAATGGAGAGAGAATATGCCCCTATCCGTTCAGAGGCGCTGGAGGTGTGTTGGCGCATGCCTATTACCCTCGAGATGGTCGAGCCCATTTTGACGAGGATGAAACTTACACACACGACACTAAATATGGCGTCAATCTTCTGTGGGTGGCCACGCACGAATTTGGACATTCCCTTGGCCTTGACCACACAAATGTCCAGGGTGCGATCATGTATCCCTTCTACACAGGCTATGTACCAGATATGAAGCTTCATTCAGACGACATTGCTGGGATACAATATCTGTACGGTAAGAATTATGATGACTAGCGCTTTCATACTCGAAATAATTTTCCTGATATTGGCTGATGTGCTCTTGAATTGTTCTATTTTCCAATAGTAATGAGCAAGGATTTTCAACATTAGCTATTCATCGTAAACTATTTTTCTCTTATGGTCAGAATAGAAGTGCACCCAAGAAAAGTAATAATCACACTTTATATGATAGTAATAATAACAATAATAACTAGAGTTTTTAAGAACGTATTCTACATATAAATGTCTCGATGCTTTTTACAACTAAAAGAAAGAGCTCTCACGAAAAAGTTACGTTTTCAATGCCCTTTTAAAACTATCAACAGAGTTACTTTGTCTAACAATAGCAAAAATAATAAATGTGATATTCGATGGTAATAGTGATGATGTTAATGGCACTTACTTTAAATTCATAATATATTATGATTTATGGCATTACATAAATTTCAATGCTTTTCAAGTGTAACCAGTTCCCTATCGACATGTACAGATAGAAAACATCAAGTATGTATGTCTACAATTTATACAAGATCCAATTACAGTGGATTAAATATAATTTCTATGGGTGTGATCAAGGTTATCATGAACCTCTGAGACTAAACCTATTAAACAAGGAGGTATTTCCAAAATAAATGGGTCTTTAGTGAGGATTTTAAAATTGTCAATGACTGAGAGTGCCAAATGTTAATTCGTAATATTGACGATTATAACGATGTTTTTGATGTTGATAACGCTGTTGATGGTTGTGATTACGATGATTCATTTTAAGAAACCTTTTTATTTTGAAACTGAAATTTCTAAAGTGGTCGCTGTCATGATCATCGTGCTTTTAAAAACAAGCTATAGTATTTCAAGATACAAGTTTTGTAGTTTGATTCTTAAACGCTTCACTGACTTGTGTTCGTTACAGGTTCAAACGATGGTACTGATGCTGGAGGTGGCGGCCAGACCCCTGCTCCACCTTGTAAGTTATGATAACTAAAGAGCTATTTGTTAAATTCTCAACTTCGGATATCACATTTATAGAATTGTGATTGGTTCATGTAGTACGGGTTATCAAATCGTATACAGTCTTATCTACTAAAGAAGTCACCCCTCCAGATGTCAGTCACTAAGCTGAATTTCTTTTTCCGTTTGAGACGAACGATTGATCGAAAGTAAAACAAATACCAGTCATTCGATAACATTCCGGACGTAATGATAAAACCCACGAAGTGTAGTATATATATGATGCTATCTAATGGTACCTATCTTTTAAGCATGGCTTATATGTCCAAGATATTGCTCCTGAAAAAAATGTTTCACATCCTCAAATAAATTATAACAACAACATAAATAAGAGCCAGTTACCTTCAAAATTTAAGGATGATTTGCAAATCGTAACAGAAGGAGGACTTCAAAATATATTGGACTTTTTCCACGAGAGATCAGAGCCCAAACTCTGTTTTGAAATTTCTGCACTTTGCAAGGACCCTTTTTTTCCAAAGGTTCATTTGTGATATCCACACCAACAGACATAGTGCTGGTTTTTTGCGTTCGATTTCACACTGCAAAAAAATTTTTGTACACAGAGCTTCTCGAAGAGCTTGAGGACTTGACATCTCAGAAAAATAAAAAAACTGAAACTGAAAGCATGTCTCACTAAGTTTGTAAAGCTGAGAGCGATAAATTAAGTTAAAAATATTTAAACGAAAGCTTTTCTTCATCCCATCCTTCGCTCAGTTTCACTCAACAAAACATTTGTGCAGCTGTGTACAAAATTTACGTGTGACAATGCGGTAGAACTCAAACATGCTCCTTATCTCGAAAATATCTTACCTCGCGCCCTTGCGCTTTTGTAGAAAGTGTTGTATTTTGTGTAAACATTCTTGTGCGGCTTTGTAATTTGTTAGAGATTATATTAATTTTGCATAATGAACACGATGAGTGCATATGATGCGACCATGAAAGTTTTATCCACTTTACTTCCAGCAGATATAAACATAGTCTGCGTAATACCTGGGGAGGTTAATGACAAAATTAATTACAAAAGCCAAGAAACTCCTGTTTAAAGTACCGCAAGGAAGTTACTGATGACTAGTTTATTAGATTGGCTAATCCTTGTTAATTCAAATTATAATTGATTTTTTTAATACCTTCTTTTTTGTCGATGAAGCTGACTGCGATGATAGGTTGGCGTCATCTTGCCAACCATATGTTGAGGCTGGTTATTGCGACGCTTACCCTTCCAATATGAAGTACTGGTGCGAGAAGTCGTGTTCTAAATGTGAGTTCTGATTGCTTAATCAGTCGTTTAAGAAACTCACTTGCATTTACGAGGAAAATAGCGCTTTCATTTTTGTTAACCTTTCTGTACTTGCATTTTACATTCTTCTGGATTTTAAGACACTTCTTCAACCAATGCATTAGCAGTAGTATCCGCACAGTGCAGATAGTGCCCGTTAAAGTTAAAACAAAGAAGAAAAAAAAGAAGGGAAAATTTGCTTAGGGTGAACTACTGGACTTCAGTTTTGAAGACAATCACTAGCCGACCTGTCAAGTGATAAATTAAATACGGTACTACCCACTCGAAACATGATTTACGCGCAATATGATTTGTTCTGAGAATGCATCAATAGCGGATTGGCAAATGAAATTTAAAGAGAATTTGGACATTGTGGTCTGTCCTCAGCCTCATTCTTTTCCTTTCTTTCATTGCAGGTCAGTGACATGTCTAGGCAGTGAAATCAAAGAGTTTACCGATATTCCCAGCCTTTGTTTGTCATTATGTCTGAAGTAACTTAGCAATGAATTACGAAATAAAGTTTGGCATCGTAAATAATTTGGTAGTGTGTGACCTTATTTATTAACGGGGCTTGTCTAAATGTTCAAGATGCAAAGGTCACAGAAGGCAATCTTTCGCGTTCACAATGACAGGATTTTAATTGGAGATAGTTATTAGGTGCTCTTTCTTAGTCAGCTACTTAATTCGTTTTCACAAAAAAGGACCATTCGGTCGCATTTTTATTATTTAGAGCAAACTTCAAGCCATAAGTCACTTCCTTTTGACGTTTTAAGTTTAGTCTACGTAAAGGTCTTTTCTGTTCTTTTTTATCAAGAAGAGAGAGCCGTGCAAAGTTAACAGTCACATGGCTCTAGCCTCTACATGGCTCTCACTTGCTTCTCGCTTTTAACTCTTTTCTAAGTGATAAGCATATACTTTCTTCAAAAATTATCACCCCTGAATCACACATTAAGGTCACGAGAATAAAGGAAATGATCACGAACTAAAGAAGCTCTCAGTTGCTAAACAAATTCTCCTTGTCAGCACTTACAGAATTGTAGAGAAAACAGTATGGAGAATTGCATATTGATATGAGGGTGTAAAAGATTAAAAGAATGGTATCCCTCCGAGTATTATGATTTCTATTTTTCTTTTCGAGAGGAATACATGGAATAAGGCTGAACTTCAGAAGACTTGTGGCACAGACACGTTTAATCTCTACAGAAGAACAGCAAAGATTTTTTACCTACGGCTAATGCAAACTGTTCCTTTTTTGTGCATTAACAGCTGAAAACAGGAGAAAAGAAGTTTCATTGTTGCTGTCTGCTGTTTGCCACAAGCGTCATTCAGAACCTCCTTATTTTTATTTAGACAGTTACTCGCTCTCATTATTTTAGTACGCAATTCAAGACAATAGCGCTTTATTCATTTCTATAAAAAGCTGAAATTAGGTTTGTACAAGACTTGAAACATAAAAAACTCAGGGAACACTTCGAAGCAAAACAATCCATGTGAACATGCAGTTGTATTAGCAGCTCACCTGACTTGAGTGTTTTTTTTTTCATAACATGGTTCGTACAGCATTGACTAGCGTTAACACTTATCAGTGAACAGCTTCCCTTCGTGAACCAAGACCACTGGGAGAATTGGGTGTTGGCTCTGTTAAGAGCGTGATAAACGAATGTCTTTGTGGGACCAGTCATTATGAAACGCCAGAAGGGGAGGGGTGAAGGGGTTGAAGGATTTTCAGGTTTTGTCACGAAAAAACTCATGATTCCCCTAAATACTGGCAAATTAAGCGCGTGAAAAATTAAATTACGAAGTCAGAGTCGGTGTCGTTTTTTCAAATGGTCGATGATCAGCAGATGAGAGCTCGATTTTTGAGCGCATTGTCTGAGCAACAGATCTCGGTGCGTAGGCAGCACACTGAATATAATCGCCTATATCTCAAGTTAAATTTAAACACTACCGAAAATCCTTAATTGTGAACATACACATACCAAAATGATTACTCATAACAGATATTGGTGACCTTTAGCGACGCTTTTACATCCATATGCAGCAAAAGCAACAATGGAACGCTGATGAATTTTGTTTTCGTGTAGAAAACTAGCATACAATCTCTTGTTCAAAACTAGAGCAAGTGTTTACGTCTAACAACGCAAACAGCAGAAAACAGATGACAGGAATTTTAAATGTTGCTTTTTACCACGTGCCGCAGACGTAAATAATATAAATGTTCTCTATTATTATTTTGAGTGACTTGCTGTCAAATCTTCATGAGCAAACACCGTTATTAGTTAAGCTGCAGAAACATTTCACAGAACGAGGAACTGATTACATACTCATAAACAATAGTTTCGCATTTATTCCAATAGAAAGCTCAAGGAAGGTTTGAAGAAGACCTGGAAAACGAGAACCTTAGAAAAACCCAAAACAAAAACATCCATTTAAACATTTGTATGAACAGGTCATCTAAACATTAGTTCTTTGATAACCTAACACAACAGACTATGGAATTTGTTTCTATAGGTCTTAAAATTAACAAAAAAATTATTTGCTGAACAGTCAAAACATTTTCCAGGTAGTATTTGTTTCTATTGTCTCGTTAGTGAGACATCTGCCCCAGATAAAGATACTTAAACCACATTTCAGAAGGCTCAATTCTGTTGGAAGCCTTCCACAGACTTTTCACGGAAATGTTGCATTTGGCATTATTTCTGCCTTTTCTCGTCAATTTTGTTACTTGTGAAGATGACCAAACTATGGCCCTGGTATGTAGACATAAAGATTCATTTTCTTGGTAGGAAATGACTCGTTTGTCGATAGCGCAAATGAGTGAAAAAAGAAACGTGAAGGAATCCTTGCAAACTTAACGTAAAATGTTTCAATATAGGCTTACATTTGAGTATCACTTACTGTCATTACACGCCTCCTTTAAAAGTTGGAAGGGCTTATTACTATGCAATACTAATGATTCAAATCCCTTAAAAATGGGGCAAATATCCTTCTTAATGACTGTTTCTAACTTTTTCGTTGGGTATGAAAAGGGTATTTTTTTTGTTCTAAAGTGGTGCTTCAAATCAAGTGTTTTTACTTTAATTAGCAGGGTTTACGCAGTCTTGAAATCTTTTATTTTAAATTTGCCCCGTGTACTCTTGCTCAAATACGAGGAGAGGAGATTCCTGAAAGATGTCTGCAAATTTCAAAACCTACTGTAAAGTTGATTTTTTGATGAAAGAGGTCCTCTGAATAGCTGAAGCTCCTCGAACGCTGGATCTCCTTTTCAAAAAGGTGTAAAAGAGATTTGATCGTACAGTCTTGACACCCATAATTGACCATGATCAAACAACCCATGAAGTTTCATACACCTCACTTAACTTTGATCCTTTTTTAGCATCTAAATATTCTGATTAAAAAAAAACCTTGTATTTGCGTGACATTTCGTCTAAGATAGGGGAAAAATTGGATAGTTTTTCAGTTATGTCAAAAGGAAGAAACATCACTGTCGTTACACATAACGCCTGCATATTTCCACTTTCCCTGGTCAAAGTCGTAAAGCGTAAATTTTTCACATTCAAGATTAAGAACTACATTTGTACAGAGTAATTTCTTTAACCTACTTTCATATTCTAGAAATTTCTAGGCCATTATGGATACATCTCATCCTCACGAAGCGGTAACCACGATGTAGCGACCGCTATCCGAGGGTTTCAGAAATTCTATGGTCTCCCAGTGAATGGCGAGCTCGATGAAGCAACAGTTAGTCTCATGAAGAAGCCTCGATGTGGTATGGCAGACCCTGTTGAGGAGGGCAGACGCGTGCGAAGGTACGCTACTAATGGAGAGTGGAGAAAGAATCATTTGACTTATTTTGTGCAGCATGGCTACGATCTACCCAATGTAAGTAGCAACCCGCTACACCCTAATATCAATATGCAGATTCTCCATTCTATTCTCTACACATTTCCTTTGGTACTAAGTGAATTTTTTTAACATAAAAAGCTTCTTGAGTCGGCGTTCATTTCCTTTTTCTCCCAATCTAAATATTTAATAAAGGAGCAAAAGTGAAAAGACAGGAGAAACTAGACGCTAGTCACTCGAAGGGGGGAGGAAGAGGTGAAAGGTTTCATGAAAATGCTATTGCACGATAACGATGTTTTTACAGTACTTTTTAAGGGAATGTAATTTCAGAGAACTACCTGTACCCACGAAATTAATCCTTTTTTCTTTTGTATATATGAATAGGCTTGTGCTTCACGTATGACAAGCTTTCCTCCTTCTCTCCCTTAGGATCAACAAACGGTCATATTTGGTCAAGCATTTAAGTTCTGGGCTGATGTGTCCGGAATGTCATTTAGCGAGGTCATGGATGCCAACAGCGCAGACATCAAGATAAGGTACATCGATTTACGCTGTTAATGTTAAGCAAGAGTCATGGGATGAGCAAACCACAGGTACAACTGTAAGCCTTAGGTTGAGTTAAGAAAGCTGATTTCATGTTTAGCTTAGAATGTTTTATTCACACAATCACTGTTTAGTAAAGACTATTAGCGCACACGAGAAAACAGACATTCACATGCAAATAAATACGGAAACATTGAAAGAGGAAAAAAGCTTCGCTATTCGCATTGAAGGAATAAACTGTTTCAACCATCATTAAACTCCAAAGGAAAAGCAGAGAACAGATTGGTTAACCTCAATAACCAAAGACAGGTTTCTCTTCAATAAACTCCTCCATGTAAACTGGACACTTCTTTTACTTCATAGTTTTGGACGGTACAGTCACGAAGGGACTAGTGTGGAAAGAACTTGTCCTTATCCCTTTGACGGAGCTGGAGGTACTTTAGCGCATGCGTACTATCCTTCTGACGGACGAGCTCATTTTGATGAGGATGAAACGTTTACTCATGACACATCTAGTGGTACCAACCTTCTGTGGGTGGCAACCCACGAGTTTGGTCATTCTTTAGGACTGGCTCACTCTAATGTCCGTGGTGCCATCATGTACCCCTACTATACAGGCTATGTACCAAATATGCAGCTTCATTCTGACGACATTGCAGGGATACAGTATTTATACGGTGAGTACAAAGCGATTTTAGTTTTTAACATTATTCCATGATAGGGATGTAGGAGATCACTATGCGGTGAGAAAGATGGACGTTATCGCCGCGTATGGCTCAATGAAACTGGTGTTAGCCATTGCTAAAGAGTTCTCTACTGAGTAGTCCAGAAACTATGATGGGTAATTGGGTTAGCGTCTATTCGATAGTTAGTCGACATACATGTAAAAGCTCTCCTTATTGGTGGAAAGCATACATGCTCGTCGGATCCACTCAGAAGAGTCATTTCCATATGTTGATTTTCATGTCAAGCTCATAATGGATTTTATTAGTGGATGTTATTTCTTTGACCTGTTCGGGTGGCAATTTGCGCAAAGTTTTATATTTTTGAATGATCATATGACTCGTCCGGCCTTCCCCGCGTGCGACTTTTTTGATAAACAGTAGACAAAAGTCCTCGTATGACGTCTATACGTGATGGCTTGAGCAGGGAGGCAGAGAGCCGTGCAGCGCTTTGAGATGCAAGCTAAAAGAAGACGGGATCAAACAAAGAGAGCGACTTAGTCAACGAGTACATGATATTTGATGGATTGCTACAAAATATTGTGGCAGAAGTTTTCTTGGGAAGATCTGCTCAGATAAGTCATAAAGTTTTATGGTTGTCACATAAACGATTTTTCAATTTCCCTTTTTGAAATGTACGTGTGCTGTAGAAGGCCACCTTAAAACGCATAGGTTTAGTTACACTGTCTTGAAATTTTATTGTCCTTTTCCTTTCAAACAGGCCCCAACACTGGCGGTGGTGGTGGAGTACAGACTCCTATTCCTAGCCTTGCTCCCACTACTCCTGCTCCCACAGATTCAGGTAAGAGACTGTGCTTAGAAAAAAAAATGTCGTTTGGTGATGTTATTGATGCACAGAAATAGAGAAGTGTTAAAAACTTTCCAGGATCTATTGTATGTGTTTATAGAAGTATCAAGATCCTCAAGCATACTTGTCTTAAACAGTATTGAGATAATAGACTGTTCTTACAAAAACATATTGTAAGTGAACAATTCACTTTACATGATTGAATTTGTGATCAGAAAACCTGAAAGTCTTAAATGTATTGAAATAGAGAAGTTTTAAAATTATTCAGGATGTATTGTGTGTGTTTACACAAGTGTTAAGGTCCTCTGGCATATCTGCATTAACTAGTATGGTGAATAAGCTTATCTAGTAAATATGCCCCTTTAGACGGTTGGATTATCCGCTGATAATTTCCGCGGCTGAGATATTGTCCGAGAAATGAATATTTCGCTGAGAAGCCAAGCTTCGAAGGCAAATGTGAAATTTTGAAAACAATCTCTCAGCCAAGATCAGAGACCAGTTTATTAATTTCATTACCAGTGGACTCTGCAAAATGAGTTCGTTTTTCTTCCATATAACTTAATAGAGATAAAAAGTGAAACTCTCTAATTATTTAGTTTATTAATAATGTTAATTAATAATAATTTATTTAATAATATATTAATAACATTTATTTATTTAATCATTTAGTATATCAATGTCATTGCCAATGGACTCTGAAAAATGAGTTCGTTTTTCTTCCATATAACGTAAAAGAGATGAAAAGTGAAACTTTTGAGCTGATTTTTCTCACCGGCTTTGCTTATTCTCGACAGAACTAATCGAAGAACAAATATAAACGTAAATGGGGATATTGCGTGATCACTATCCACTGAATTTAAACCACGTGACGTAAAATAGCCAATAAAGTCGCGCGAAAATTAATGGGTGGGTTATAACCAGAGATATTTACCGGTTCGGTTTGGGCTCATAGCTGATGTCAATTATATGATGACATACCATGCAGGTACGTGCAGCGACAGAATGGGATGCAAACCTTATGTGGATGCTGATTATTGCCGAATATACCCCGATAATATGAAGTACTGGTGCCCCAAGTCCTGTTTCAATTGTAAGTTGTACACCAACTATCAGTTATTAAATTTATTCATTCAAATCCATTCATTCAATTGTTAATTGGTTCCCTTTCTTTCTGTCTTTCTTTCTTTTTTCTTTTTCACTTTTATTGCTTAGTAAATGATGGGAGCTTTCTTTTGCTTGCAGGTAACGTGTGAACGCCGAAACTAAGTGTCACGTGAGACGCACTCTACAAAATCATTGATGTAGAAGTATGTCAGATACAACTCAATAAAAAATACATAATTGCATTTGGTAAATTTGGTAAATCTTAGTATTTGCTAAAGAAGAGAAAAAAGACAGGCTAATTTATGTTACTTCATAGAGAACCCTGGGTGAATGACGACGATCAGGGTCCCAGATTAACTTCGATGGTGATCAGTTGAAATCATTTGAACTCAGGATATATTTTGATACGGCCCAGGATCTCGCACTTTCGTCTCTACTTTCGAGCCAAGAGTCTTTCCGTATTCTTTGATCGAGAGCCTAGCACAGACTCGTTATAACAGATTTCCCTTGTTTAAGTGCGTAGATATATTTGCTACAATAGGGGATGAATTACGGCTTTATATTATGATTTTGAAATTGTGCAAAATTATTTAGTAAACACTAAAATAGAAACAATGAAATATTGGGTCGGTCAATGTTTGAGAAATTCGTAACTGGCTGCCAAAATTATTCCGGGGTTAAGATAATTTTTCTTGAAGTCTCAAATCTCAAATTTCTTGGCCTGCATCGTCCCGAGTTTTGAACAAACATTTAGTTCTAATTGGTACTTGATCATTTTTCTGACAAGCCGTTGTGATAACACAATTTTTTTACTACACACGGTCGAAAAGCGCAATGCATGGGGTTAAAGAGAGGAGCTTGACTGTTCTTTGACGATTTGTGCCTCAAATTCTTGCCTATACTATATCAGGACGAACAGCATCAAAATTGCAACCATACAAAGCACTCAGGACCTACTGCGTTCATTTGAATAGTCCGTTTAATCAATCATTCGTTCGTCTAAGCTACAGTGCTACTCATGGTCAAAGCTAACGATTTTTATGCTTTCAAAAGGTGCTCCAGATGTCGTTCCTTTCAAATACCTGTAGTTTGGATGTGAGTACCTATATGATCGGGATAAAAATCATAAAATAAGGGATGATATAAATAAACAAAATAGATTTTACTAAATGCATCGAATAAAATGGTAATGATTAAAAACTATCGGCAAAAACTTTATGCCCTGTACTCGTCGAAACATAATTTAAACGTTTGACATCATCCTGAAAGTAAGTCATTTCGCCTTTCTATCAAAGTATCCAGAATAGACAAAGAAGCCAATCAGAAGAGTGTTTTAATTAAAGCATTAAGACAAAAAAACAGAATAGCGACACGATTATGATATTGAATAAATTTAGTAAATAAAAAAGTTAAAAAAAAGGAAAATAAGAGACAAATAGCAGCAAAAATCTAACGCCTGGTTCCTCTCGTCAGTTCTGATCAGTCTCATTATTTCCACTTGGTTTAACTTAATCTAAACGCAAAGGCAATTTCGCCTTTCTATTATGATTTCTCTAGCTAACTTAACAGATAAGGTCGCTGATTAGATGAGTACATAAAGCATAGAAGAAACAGAACAACAAGACAAAATTTGACTTGGAGAAAGGTCTGATGAGTTTAAGACCGTGCACAGCCAACAAAAAATTGGAACTTTTATTTTTGCACTTTTTTGAATCAGTCATCCTAATCTTCCTGCAGCATTAACCTCCCCTCGGACATATATGTTATTCACCAGAAGGGAGGTCCGTATTGGGAAAAACTGTGCCCAAGGTCTTGGATGCCGCCAAGATACACAAGACAGAGAGCACAGTTTTTCCCAATACGGACCGACCTTGGCTGGTGAATAACATTTTTATTTTTTTCTAAAACCTAACAAATGGCTGCGAAAAAAACCGCCCGCTGTGAGCGGGCAGGATGGGGAGAATACTGCCCGCTCTCGGAACCAATCAGATTTCAGGAGTTGTAGAATACCGCCCGCTCACGAACTGAGAAAAAAATAACAAGGTCTTACTGCCCTCGGACCAAGGTCTTACTGCCCTCAGACCAAGTTCGCACTGCCCTCGGACTCGGACTAAGGTCTAACTCATTACATATCACGTACTTTCCAGTTCAGCAAAATCTGCATGTTTTCCGACAGTTAGCCTGGACATATCTGTTGGAGCGGCAGTATCTGGTCCATCCACGGCAACGTCGATCCTTGTCTACACAGCCTGAAAATGAAAAAAAGGTTATCATTCCTGTTTCCCAAAGGTAGAATGAATCAGAAATAAACTGTTAACCGGGTCCTCTTACTTGTATGGGGCACCTCCATAAGCTTAACTTTTTTGGGTGACTGGGTGCAATTTCTTCGAGGAAATCACTGCTTGAAAATTTAATGTAACTGCCCATTCACATCTTGGTCATTATAGCTCGCTGAAAATTTGGTTTAAATTTCATAACAAATCTCCTGGAGGTATTATGAGAAAAAAGGCGAATGGTGTAGCAATTTCTGTTGACGTGAAGTATTACAAGTTCTTAAGATCCACCGAATGAAAGATTTACTTTGAAGAAGCAGTTTATATCTAAGCCCTTTTAGATTTGATAATTTTGGAAATAGTGGTTCAGCAGAAATGGGGTGTCTTGGAAAAAAAATCTATTTTAGGGACAAAAACGAAATAAGACCTGTTCGGCTATTTTGGATTACGAGACCAGTATCCAAGGGCGTACATAGTTGAAATGACTAACTCATAATCCTTATCAAAGGGAAAAGTATTCCAAGAAATTGTGTCAAAAAAAATGAAAATGGGCGAAAATCGAGGAAGGGTTTCAGCCCACCCCTTCCCTCCTTACAACCTAGCGAGGGTGTCACTTTCGTGTTACTTAAAAGGTAGAATAATTGATCGATGTCTCCCCTCTCCCGGATGCTTACCTCCGCCACCGCCACCTCCACCTCCACCGCCGCCTCCACCTCCGCCCCCACCTCCACCTCCGCCGCCAGATCCTATATGATGATGACACAAATAGGAAATATCAGTCAGTGAGCTTTTTAGAAATAAAAGGAATTTATTTTAATGTGTGAATAATATGGGAAAAAATGATCCTGACACAAATTCAGGCTTCTACAGGGCTCGTTCTCCTGCCTCCCTTTCGCCAGTAAGACACTTCTCTCAACTCTGCTAAATGTACGAAGCAACATATTGCACTTAACTCCCACTCGTGACCATGCACTTGATCACTGTAGGTTGTAAAATAGAGCACCATAAAAAATTATCTTTGTGGCGCACGTATCAACATCATCTTCGAATTAAAAGGCCTATGGCTTGAATTTAAAGCTATGATTGTTGCTGAAAAGTTCTTAAAGATATCGGAAAATTAAATTCCGCTCTGGAGGAAAACAAACTCACATGCTTTTCAAAATTCGGGCTAGTATTTCATCATGGCCTAAAAGAATGCCTACAATGTTAACTACTGTAATTAAGAGAAGCTATGATAAGTTTTCTCTCCCTCACCGTAAAGTGAGCGTATCCCTGCAATGTCATCAGAGTGAAGCTTCATATTAGGAACGTAGCCAGTATAGTAGGGGTACATGATTGCACCTTTGACGTTGGTGTGTTCCAAACCGAGTGAATGCCCAAATTCATGGGTGGCAACCCACAGCAAATTTGTTCCCCTTGATTGCCCGTCTGTGTATGTTTCATCTTCGTCAAAATGGGCGCGGCCGTCCGAGGGGAAGTACGCGTGTGCCAGAACCCTACCCGGGCCGTCGAATGTACTTCCACATGTTCTCTCAGCACTGGTTCCTCCGTGTCTTCGGGTTCCAAAACTAAAATCAGGAAAGGTAAACTGAACAAATTAACAAACATACACATAGACCATAAACAACCATGCAATTTGTATGTGAACAGACAGATAAACAAACAGGCAGACATACATCCATCATTTTTTGTTACTCTTGTCTTTATCTGAAGATGACCATTTTGATAAAAAGGTTTTCGTTGAAGACAACGCTTTACCTGATTTTCAAATCAGCTTGTCCTGCATTGTTCACTCTCCTAAACGAGAGCGATGATACGTCAGCCCAATATTGCAACGCCTTAGCAAAAATACGGTCTTGCTGATCTCTGCTGAGGTCGCGGCCATGTTGGATGTAGTACGTCAAAGAAGTCTTCCTCCATTTTGAGGCTGTTTTATAGCGGCGAAAACGGTTACCGCTTGCCACTTCATCTGGCATTCCACACCTCGGTTTTTTCATCAAAGTTAGAGTAGGTCTGTCCAGACGACCAGTAACATCCAAGCCAGCAAAACGCTGAAAGTTGCTGATGGCTTTCTTCACATCATGGTTGCCAGATCTTGATATTGAAAGATAGCTGAACTGGTTGAGATATTTCTGTTACGATAAAAGTTAAAAAACGTGATCACTCAGTGGCTCATGTAAAAAACTAGAGAAGTGTCATATGTTTTAGCCGAATTTGTTAGCGTAAGATTAAAGTTCAATTTGATAAAATATCTGAAAAGGAAGTAGAAAGAACGTATTCACGCCCAGGAATCATGCTTTACAGGAGTACCAAGTATTAGTACCAAAGACACACATTTGCACGTAAAATCATTTCATAGCTAAACAAAGAGTACGAGTCCCAGCAAATTCTATTTTCACGCGCCCAAAAATGACCGAGGCATCTCCTGTTTGGAAAGGAACAAAGGGGCTGATTCTCCGAAATAAAAACAAAATTCGTAAGTCCTGAAACGATGCCGGTAAAGTATAGAAAAAGCTGCGACATATTTCTTAAATGTATGCAAACCTTTTTCATTGAACTCAGATATTTCATTTTCAAATAATTTTGTAGTCATAAATGATATTGAAAAACTCCAACTTGATGGAGTATCATTGATTTCCTTTGCTAAAAGCTGGAAATAAGCTGTTGGGTTAATCATCCTAGTTACAGTTGACTAATACGTTCTTTGAAACTGGTTTTTACTGCAGCTTTTTCAGAGCTGGTAAGATTCCCAATAAATCCTCTCCATTATAAATCTTTCTTCCTACCAGCGCAAATGATTCTTCGTCTTCTGCTTGGACGACTCCTAATGCCACGATTGTGGCAAGGAGCGGTAGCGACCACATGTTGTCGACTTCTTCTTCTAGCAAACCGTCTGGTCTCGTGGTACTCTTTTATGCCTAACATAAGCTTTAAGCTAAATCTCTGTTCAAACAAATCAAAATGACCAC